AGAACAAAAAGTGCTCACCGGCCAGCTGGGCATGCAGCCCACAGCTTTCCAAACAGGACCTGCTTTTCACTGCACGCCTTGTGGCACAAACTTTGGAGGCCAGTTGCTTCCTAAAGATTTTACTTAAGTGATAGCCCATAAGGTGCCTAGGAGCCAGTCACTTTCTGTTCCTTGTCAAATTCACTATGGCTGACTCCTACCACTTTTCCATTTCCAACCTAACAAGTACTTCCCCGGGAAAATGTCTGTTGTATGACACCCCGTGTCTTTCTTCACAGAAAATTCTGAATTCATCATCTCTTTGTGTGGGGCTTGTTTTCAACTCCTCTTCTAGCTCACAGCTCAATGTGCAGCATTTTATTTGCTAGTCTAACCAGTGCCTGGAACAGGACCCTGACACTTAATTGCTGGTCAATAAAATTACAGAATGGCCAATCACACCATGATGACATAGGTACTACAGCAAGCATGCAAAAACTGGCTCGGGAGGTTAATGGCACAGCAGGGCATAGTTCCTAAGGGGTCAGACTCTGGCCCCTCTGATGCCAAGTCCTAACCAACGAACTACATGTTAAGTGTCAATCAGTAGCCTAACAAAGTCACTGATCTCTACAGCAGACTATGTTAGGCTTATGTACCCAGGATCTTAACTGAGATCCCAACATAGTCTGAGAAGTGTTCACATTTCTTTCCTGAAATTTTATTTGATCAAATGTTTTTGAAATGGCTGTGTCAGAGTGATTATTTTACTAAACTGAGATATTCAGCCTGACTGTACTTCCTAGAATAGACACTAATTAGCTACAATTAAATTTAGCACATTCCTTATGTAAGGGATGTACATTTCCACTAAGTAATGCAGTTCTTGCATGTTCATTCAATTAACAGGGTCTCTTGTCTCACTTGAGGCTAACAGGAGTCTGTTGTCTCACTACTCTCACACACTACTAGCTCTCACTAGACTACACTTCCTGCTACGACCAAAGAGCAAAACAAGACACTATTTGTAAAGGCTTTTAATGTACTTATATAACTGCATATATACACCAATTTATTTTTTTAAAAAAAAGACTGTGTTCAGCAATGTGAGACTTTCTACAATGATTCTATTCATTGGGGAGAAATAAAACCTAAAAAAAGAAAAACAGAATGAAAGAGTTTTTGAATGACAGTGAATTTAAACAGTGAGTCAGAATGAGTCAGCCTTGAGTATAGAACTCAAAATTGTAAAGGGACACTACCATAAATCCTGTGATGTCAATCTTAATCCTCTTCAAAATAAGGAAATAATGCTGCTGAGTGCTGAACTGTTCTTAGCATAGCCATGGTTTTGCAATGTGTGTAACTACATGGTTTAAAGACTAATCTTACAGTGCTGCCTGTGGACACGGGTGCTAGGAATTTTACAACAACAGGCTTGGTGAAGTTAACCAATACTTTTTTGATGAGAATAAGATTGAGCAAACTCTTTTATATTGCAGTAATACAATTTACATCATGCAGAAAATTCATAAATGCTAAACATTCCTCCTCATTTACTTATTCCACTTATAGCATTAGCATTCCAGGCTTTAAACTCAAAAGCTTGGTGTCATTTTAACAATTAATTTCCCCTTCACACTATACACAAAATTTCTCACTAAATTCTTTGTATTCTTTTCAATCTCCTTGAATTTTTTATTTGTCTCACTATTATATAAGCCCACAACCATATATTGGCCATGGAATTCAAACATTTGTTGAATTCAAAATAAAGGTACAATAATTGCCAAGTCATACATGGCTTGCCAATAATAAAACCATTACTTAAATCCAAGCCTTTAGAACATTTCTACAACTAATATGAATTTCTATGTTTCCTTGTAAAGAATAAAGAAAATGTGATTTGGACAAGAATAACAGAAATAACAGATTACTCACTCATAAAACCAATGTCAAGAGACTACAACTCCATCCACTCATTAATCAACTCTAGTAATTAGTACTAGATAGTTCACAGAATAGCACAAATCCATGATGCCTGTCAATCAAGGAAGAAGGAAGGGAATGAGAGGAAAAGGAAGAGAGAAAGTGGGGGGATGGAACCAACACCATGTAAGTATTTTTTTTTCAAGAATCAGATTCAATGCAATCACTAAAATTAAAAACTCAATTTGACACCAAATTAGATACAATTGAAAAGATCAACTTTTTAGACAAATCTGAAAACATATAGATTGTAAGAAAAAGAAAAAAGAAAAGGGATATGAGACCATGGGCAACACTTAAAACTCAAGGAAATAGTATGGCATATTTATTATCAGAGTCCCAGAAATGGAAGGCAGTGGAGATGTGGTTTTTGAAGAAGTGATAAAAAAAACTTAAAAGAACAAAACAATATCAATTACCATTAATATTAAGAACTCCAGGCACTTATGAGAAATACTTGCAAAAATTAAAGGGCAAAGAAGAAATCTTAAAAAGCAGAGAAAGGGCCAGATAAGTTTTCAATAAGTGGGAATAAAATTCCTAAACAAAAACTATGAAAAAAAGAGAGTGAAAAAACAACCTTAAAATACTGAAATAAAATTACTACCAACTTAACATTTCAACTATTTTTAAGAACATCCCTCCAAATTTAATGAAAAGACACTTGCAGATAAACAGAACTGGAAAGGCACACCCTGAAACTGAGCTCATTCCTTGTAATCTTCTAGTATCTGTACCTGGACACCTGTAATATTAATTTCAATGTCTCTGACCCTGTGGTCACTGCACCTTTCCACCTGTGCAATTCAAATGTGCCTCTCCCTCCAACAACTCCTACTCCTATGGACCACCACACTGATTTATTTCAGCCAAGTTGCTATAAACAAACCCTGCCGTTTAATCATAGTCAAATTGCAGGTATCATACTTAAGCTATATTTTAAAAATCTCAAACAGATTAACTCCCTTCTAGTACAAAGGAAGGGCAAACATGAGTACTGCTTTCCTAGAGTTTTTGGTTAATGTTCAAATCCAAAGTACAATGACCACATTTAAGCATAACTTATTTTGCCTAATATTAGGAGATGTTTTATAATTATCTAGATGACATACTTAGTTCAAATGCTAACATAATTTAATTTTTTAAAAAACACTTTAGGGGAAAAATCACAGAGAAGCAACAACAGCCAGTAAGACTGTTAAAATTCCTAAATTAAGAGTTCAAGTAGTAAACATATTCTGTCTAAAACCACAGACTGTGTGTGTGTGTGCATATATATATCAATATAAATATACTCTGTTTACAATACACACACTATAACACACAAACTGAGTTAGAGGAGTTTCTGGAAATTATAGATTAAAAATACTAATGCTTCAGCATATTTAAGTTAAAGGCAATACTGATTCAAATAACAATGTCTACTTCACACTCTAAGGCAAAAGAATTAGAATCTCAGGCTGGACATGGGTGCCTCCTTTTAAGCTCGGTACCTGGGAGGAAGAAATAGGCAAATCTTTTGTGAATTCAGAACCAACCTGGTCTATACAGCAAGACAAACAAAACAAAATTCAAATTTCAAAAATACCTTTTTAAAAAAAAGTATATAGTCTAAGGACATTTTTAAACTCAATAATAGCAACTTCCATTTCTTAAGTTAAGCAACACTTCACTTACCAAGCTGTCTCAAATAACAAAGAAGCAGAGACCCAGAGGCTAACGAAGAAAGGGAAAAAGATTTCTAAAAAGTAAAAGTAGGGTTCCAAAAAAAAGGTAATTATCCAAAAACAAGTCTCTGAAAACCTTCACTCAGAGCTAATTTACCCATTTTCATTCAGAATGACTTTTACAAACAAGTAAGAGCAAACTGATGGTGGCTTTTATTCCAAGTTAAAGACTAGACACGGAAAATTAGAGATGGGGAACATACATTAAAATAAGATATAGAAAATAATTGCTTGCCTAAATAAGTCAGAAGATAGGGGTTAAAAAGATGGCTTAGCCTTTGCTGCTCTTCCACGGGACCCAAGTTCAGTTCCCAGCAACCACATTACATTGGCCAGCTCACAATCACCTGTAATTCCATCTCTGCAGGGATCTGACACCTCAAACCTCCTTGGGTACCTACACTTAAGTATACACGCTCACACAGACACACAGACACACACACACACACACTTAAAAACAATACAAAAATCCTTTTTTAAAAAGTCATGGGAAAAATAACTATAAAAAGAAATAAAAACTACCAGGTGGTGGTGACTCATGCCTTTAATCCCAGCACTTTGGAGGTAGAGGCAGGTGGATCTCTGTAAGTTCGAGGCCAGCATGATCCACAAAATGAGTTCCAGGACAGCCAGGACTGTTACAAAGAGAAACTCTGTCTCAAAGAAAGAAAAGAAAAAAGAGAGAGAGAAAGAAAGGAAGGAAGGGAAGAAGGAAGGAAGACCACTTAAACTAAAATCTATTTTGATTATAGACTAGGAAAAATACCACAGTCTATATGTGGTAAGATGCTAAAATAAAATTTCAAGTAATTTCATCAAGAATTCTTAAAATAGGGACTGGAGAGATGGCTCATGAGTAAGAACACTGACAGTTCTTCCAGAGGACCCAAGTTCAAGTCTCAGTACCTATATGGAAGCAAACAATCATCCTTCACTCCAGTTCCAGGGATCCAAAGTCCTGTATAGACAAAAAGAATGCATGTGGTGCACAGATATACCTAAAACCCCCATGTGTATAAGATAAAAATATTTTTAAAAGACTTGTGCTTCTTGCATTAAAAAAGAAAATCACAGGGCTAGAGAGATGGCTCAACAGTTAAGAGTACTTGCTGCTCTTCCAAAAGATCAAGCTGAGATCCCAGCACCACATCAGGCAGCTCACAATAGCTGCAACTACAGCTTTGGGTTTCTGACACTTCTGGTCTCTGCAGGCACCAACACTCAACTCACATGTACATACTTACATGAAGACACACACACCTACATAATTAAAGATGATAAAAAAATATTTTAAAAGTCACATCAGTGATAACTTTGGCAGCACATTACTAAAATTGGACTGACACAGATAAAATTAGCATGGACCCTGTCCAGGTATGGCATGTAAATTCATTAAGTGTTCCATATTAAAAAAGAAATTACACTGGAGGCAGTGAAATGGTTTATCAAGTAAAGGTACTTGCCACCAACCCTGAAGACCTGAACTCAGTCTCCAGAATCCTCATGGCAAGGAGAGTCAACTTGGACAACTTGCTCTCTGACCTTCATATGCAAACCATGTACACCCAAATAAATAAAGAATAAATAAATAAATAAATAAATAAATATTGCTAGAGCTCACACAGAACACTTAGTTTTCTAATCCACCAGCTAATACATTCTTGAAAGATAGTCAAGTCATGAAGAGATCTATCAAGAAAGCTGCAATCTCTGGTAGACCTGAGGATGCAGCAGTGGAAGCTTGTCTTGGTGGTAACCAACAGCTCTCTAACTGGACTTAAGACCTGCCCTACAAGAGAGAAACCATGTCTAGTACTAGGAATCTAGCTAAACTGCTCAATGCTAGTGAAGTCATGATTATTAGAAGAGACTCTATAGCCACTAATTTACTAATGATCCCTAATAACAATCTATAAACAATTGCCCTTATACCCACAGAATAGTCTTCAGCCCTCATCAAGGAAACTTCTCTTTGCAACAGATGAACACCACTAACTACAGAAAACCACAACCAATCAATGTGCAGAGTTGCAGAGCCCAGGTCCAATGGACACAACTACAAAACACTCCCTTACCTTAGGCTCAGAGAACATTGCAAAAGGGGTATGGGAGTGTATGAGAAAAGATTCTATGAGCCAGAGAACCAGGGAGCCTACCGTAAGATTATGTCTCCTAGTAATGTCAGCCATCCATAAAGTCTCACCAACATGACTGTGGGCTGAACAAGGATGACACCAATGACTAAGCCACACTGAATGGAGAAAAGTCCATGAGACATCAACCCTACACACAGAACTACAGGCTACTGAGGAAAGCTGGGAAGAGGAAAGGTGGTCCTCCTCAGAGAAAAGCATACCAACTGGTTGTCTAGTGTCAAACAGTCAGCCCTGAAAACATATATACAGGAAGCATTATTTGGACTGAATAGGTTATATTTGGGAAAACACATGGAGAGTCATACAGTTACATACATGCAATAACAATTAGTTAAGAATTAAAAAAGAAGCCATAAATTTGAAGGAGAGCAGGAAGGGGTACAGAGGAGGGCTTGGAGCAAAGGGAAAGGAGAAATGCTATAATCAAATAATAATCTTAAATTCTTTTAAATTAAAAATACAATCTCATTCCTCTCCTCCCTTTCTCAATCCTACTCCCCTATGTTAATGGTATTTTCAAAGCTTTCTCCACTGCACATTCCAAACAGATATATAATGGTATCATGTTCATACACAGATGGTACACAAGCATACACATACGAAAGCATGCAAAGAATCGTACTACCCATATTCTTTAAAACTTTTCAACTTCTTTCCCAGGTTGTTCAGTTCCATTACACCGTCCTCGCTGTGGGGACATATTATAGTGCATAAATATCTCTTCTACTGGCAGTCTATAGTAGAGCGGGGAGACCGAAACAACGCTACAGTACGGGCCTTACTGCATACTGTGCATGGAGGAAAAAATATTAACTTCCTTACAACACTGAGCCACAGACTGGAATAGGTAATCAAGATGAAATAAAGACTAAAAAACATGTATCAGGAGCCAGGGATATGGCTCAGTAGGTAAAGGTGCTTGCCACACAAGCCTTATGGCCTGAGTTTGACCCCTCGAGTCCATGTTAAAAACCAGATGCAGTGGTATGCACATGTTATACCATTAGTCCTATTGAGAGACAGGAAGCAGCGACTGGAGAACTGACCAGAAACTCCTGGGCCAGCCAGCCTGGAGTGACTGCAGAAACAAGATGGGCCCTGACTGAGCAAGGCAGAATGAAAGAGTCAACTCCTGAAAAATATCTCTAACTTCCACACTCACTGGGGCACAAGCACATCTGCACTAGCACACAGATTGGAGGCATGAAGGGGAACCTTCTTCAGCCAATGACCTTTAAGAGGCTGGCCAGGTTGGGGCATGACTTTTTGGGTACACAGAGAAAAACACCAGTCACCCAGCTCTCTCTCTCTCTCTCTCTCTCTCTCTCTCTGTCTCTCTCTCTCTCTCGTTCCCATGCTCCACACCCTGAGGTTGGACCTCACATTCCTGTTCCACGAATTTTTCCCTTACAATAAAGAATAATCTTGGAATACTCTTTTGGAGTTAGTTTGGGATTATTTGACTCACCCCCCCCCCTTTACACATTCATCTTCAGAAGCACACACAATAAATAAGTTTAAAATAAACAATTCAAGTTTACCAACTTGGCTCTTACCTATAACACACAATCACACTAAACATCACTCACATTGCTAACTGTGGCCAGTCTCAGGCAAATGACATTTCATTAGTGTGCCACTGAATTGTCAAACACTGGAGATTCCTATATAATATTCACATAACTTCTCTGCTAATAAGAACCCAAATCATTTTAACAGAAATGCTGCAAGATTTAAAAGAAAAAACAAAAAAGCAGATTCCCTAAAAGCTTGCAGTGGTGGTCATGTGGTGGTTGTTTGTGGTTTGGAAGAAAGTACTGGGTTTCCTTACATGTACCACTCACTCTAGATTTTTTGTTTTTCTTTTTCCTTCTGATGATTTTTGGATCTAAGGATACAAAACAGCAGCTAGCCCACACTCACGAAGGCAAACACTGAACGTAAAAAGAGTTGGTTAGTCAAGCCACTGTAACCGCCCTACTTAGTCCATCTATCTGTACAGCTTGAAACATTCACCGAGCTATAAGCTTCGTCCATCTATACGCAATTCTAATGCTACACATCATTCTCATACTTCTGACACCAAGCATCTTCTCAGGAGTTAGCAGCCATGTACACTTCTTCTCTAACCCCTCTGCTGCATCTGTCCAATCTGCACTCTGTTGTCTCAGTCCACAAACAGAACTATGGTGCATGGGAACCCACTATAGTAAGGTCTCTTTCTTTCTTTTCTTCAGTCATACTTCAAATTTCTCATTTCCAAATTCAGGTTTCTCATGGTAATCAACATACAGGAGAGCATAGCTGCCTACCAGGTGTGTACACAGATAAACCCAGCCAAAGAGAGAGAGAAACTATAAGCAGGAAGCAGGAGCTTCAGAACCACTACTCCAAAACACTGCTTCATTGACATTTTGGATTGTGCACTTTACAGAAAGATAAGGGCCCTCACAAAATTATTTAAAACTTCAAGAATATTCAAACATTCTTAAAAAATACTTTCATTAGCCTAAGCCATATTTTTAAGATCCAGCATCTATAATTTGTTAATGTTTCTAGTAACTGCAGTGATGAACCCAGCAGATGTTCAGGTAATCATTAAAAGCTCTCCATGACTAAGTAGTATAATGACCTTTATTAATCACTGCATCTGGTATCTGCCAAACAGGAGAGAAACAATACTCAAGCAGCCCGTTTTCAAAGAGTAACAAGTTACTTGAATGAAGATGTTTCAGCACGTTTAAATGACATTTAAATTATATTATGATAGTGGTACAAACAAACACTTAATTCCAAGCACCAATCTAAATAACTACTGAAACCCAAATTACTCTCTGGAGAATATTCATAATATCTATTGGGCAGTCTGCTTCAGTAATAAAGTCATACTAAGAATTGAATGCTCTCAGTACTGAAGCAACCAACTACATTTACCAATTACCCATTATTTGTATGTACATTCATCACTGATGATAAACTATAAGGAAGCAAACACCAGACAAGTACAGACATGGATCACTGCATTCTTCAAACTAAATTTTCTCTAAGACTCAAAGTCATGGCTTATTAAAAATACTCAAAAATTAAATATATATATACTATAAGGTAGTGTGTGGGAATATGCTCAAAAAGTTACTCTAAGTCATTTTAAATGGAGCTGGGTATCTCTACTCTTGCACGCCCAGGTATTTCCTACCCCAGTCACCCTGACAAAATCCAAAAAAGCACAAATACTTTCAGTGTCTCAGTGTCTCCAAGGCCCAAGTGCCTTCACATGTAAAACCATACATTTGATATGTATCTGCAGTTTTGTAATAATCCACTCTTCACCAACATAAGGTAGCACTCACAATATGTATCTGATCATACAAGTCATCTCAAACACAGAGATAACTTAAAGCATTGAGAAGCCAGGACCAGACCCTGTATTAAAGTGCCATCCACAAGGTGCTGACATCAGTGATTTGCATGTCATGGTATTGCAGGGAAGCAAATGATAATAACAGAAATACCTTGCTCCTCTTCACAGAGACATAGACAGAAGCAGAGATACTCTCAGCATGTTTCAGAGACGCCATCACAGATGGTGGAATGGGTGTGGGGTTCCTGTCACTTCAGAGAGTACTTGGAAAAATATAGTTTTGATATTAATGAAAATACTAGTTACCTTTCAAAACTAAATGGTTCCCTTATTGAAGAAGCACACCCTGAACATTTATTGTGTGCATAAATAAGATGCACATTCTAAAGGAGTTTACACACCATCTAAAGAGGGGTATCAGCAGCATCAAATATTTTTCAACAAAGGCTGTGATGAGCTGAAACAGGAGGAACAGACTAGATGAGGATGGAACAAAGCCAGCAACTGCAAGGCGCGGGCTGGCAAAGGTACTGCTCTGTCCAGAAGCGTAGAAAAGGTGTTCTCAATTATGACAAAATGTGAAAATAAAAAGTACACTTCACTTTTCTTTAAAAGCCAACAGAAAATAGAGGAAGAACAAAAAGATTACAAAACAATAAATCATAAAATATAATAAATCTAAATGTATAATAACATATAATAAATGTATAATAATTCTATTTAACATGTATAAATATATAATGTATAAAAATGTAAAATCATAAAATATAATAAATCTAAATGTATAATAATGTACACTAAACATATTATAAATATATTCAACAGGTATAACTATATAATAATGTATAAAAATGTATAATAAATCTATGTAACAAACATTTGTTTATTTAACAA